TGGATTATGGGGAATTTATTCTGCTCTCCATTCCCGTCTTCCAGCTCAGGGAGCTGAAGACCCTGAGGATACTTAGTCTGACTATTAAAGACTGAGGCAAAGAAGGCATTAAGTACCTCAGCCTTTTCCTCATCCTTGGTGACAATGTTCACCCCCCACATCCAATAAGGGATGGAGATTCTCCTTGGCTCTCTTTTTGTTGTTAATATTTTTTGTTGTCCCTTATGACTGTGGACAGATTGAGTTCTAGCTGGGCTTTGGCTTTTCTGATTTTCTCTCTGCATGACCTAATGAGACCCTTTTACTCTTCTTGAGTTGCCTGCCCCTTCTTCCAAAGGTGATAAACTCTCCTTTAGGAGGTGTTGGTCTCTTCTCCCAAGTAACTAGTGATAGGACAAGAGGAAATGTCCTCAAGTTGCGCCAGGGGAGGCTAACACTAGATATTAGGAAAAAAGTCTTTACTGAGAGAGTGGTCAAACATTGAAACAGGCTGCCCAGGGAAGTGGTGGAGTCACCATCAGTGGAAGTATTCAAAAAGCGTGTGGACGTGGCACTTCAGGACATGATTTAGTGTGCGTGGTGGTGTGGGGTAGATGGTTGGACTTGATGATCTTAAAGGTCTTTTCTAACGTCAATGATTGTGTGATTCTGTGTCATCACAGAAGATAGCAGAAAGGTGACTTTGCTGTGAATCTTAGTGATATATTTTGAGCTGATTAAGAATTAGGAGGTAACCAAACTATGATAGGAATTACTAAGCGTTGGCTGCAAGGTTGTTAATCTTCCAGGTGGAGACTAAAATAGTGAGAATCATGCTGCTTAACTTCTGAACAGTTTTCTAGTAGTCCCCTTCTAAGACAGGGAGGGGAAAGTGGGAGTAACTTTAGAACACTATGTGTAGCAGCTTCTCAGCAGTACGAGATCTGTTTATGTAGTGTGAAGCATGATCTTATGACAAAGAAATGACCTTGTATTACTGGTTCTGCAGAGTAATAGCTCACTTGGTTTCTTGTACCCCAGCAGGGTACAAAGTAACACACTTCTGCATAACTCCCATGTTACATAGTCAGTAAAGCTTTCCATACAAGTTATGGAAATCAGTAAATCTGGCTGTTCTGTCTTTTCTCAAATGGCTAAACTACTGTAATTTCTTTGCAGGTGCTGTTGATGGAGTGGTTAATGGACATGTCTATCAGGTAGGATAGAAGTACTTTGTATTTAGAATGTGCTGTTCCACTCTGAGAACTTTACCTTAATCTAGACTAATACTTCCATTTCTTGTCTCTAATGTACTTTCATCTCCTCTCTGAAGAGAAACTTCTATTCTGATAGGTCATCTCATAAAGCTGTTAATATGCCTTTCCTCTGAACTTAGACACGACTTAAAGCAGCAGTCCATTTTGAATTATGGCTTAGTAGGACATAACCACTAGAAGCAGACTGACAGGCTCTGTTGTATGACTCAGTGTTGACTTGCTACTGGCTAATAAGCTGAAAGCATGTTCTGACTACCTAGTTTAAAGCAGAGTTTTCTGAATTGCTTGTTCTTTAAGGATAATTTGTGTGTCATGGTAGTCTTACCATGATTGTTCTTACCAGGAGCTGACTGAAAATATTATACGCTTACTAGTCACATAAAGTTGCATGAAATTAAGCTGCTGGCTAAATAGCTTACTAATAGTCTGAAAGCATCCTAGCCAGCCATGGTAATGACAAAAGGAGGAGATACTTGCTTTATTAGTGTCAGGGAGGAATGAGGCATGCTAAGGCAATCATTGTGTTGTAACTGAATTTCATATCAGTTTGGCTAAAGCACTGTTGTTGCCTGGTGTCAGAGTTGGCTGGATAGCCCTGATTAAACGAGTGCTTGGGAAGGGGGCAGCATATAGCTCTTCTTCATAGAGTTTTAAGTGAATACTGAGCTTCGTGGAGACACAAACAGCTTTCACTGATGCTAGCACTTTTATATCCTCACCATTGCTGTGAGATTGATGGGAAAACTGTATCTTACTGCACCTTGGTGCTTCCTTAGGTGATGAGGTAGATGAAATATCTTGATTTTGTGTTTGCAATTCTAAGTGACCAGCTGCTTTGGTTGATACAGCTTCCTCTTAATGAGGAAGAATAGAACAAATGGGCTATATGTAACTTTTGTTTTAGCTACGTGTAACTAGTTTGGCCCTGCAACTCACCAATTTATTTTGTTTTGGATTTCATGTGAAGCCTGGTGCTGTTGCAGGGTAGCTCCTTTTCCTTGCGTTACTCCTTCATTGAGAGCTACAGGAGGTCCAAAGAGAGGCAAGATGCCATTAGCATTGATCCATCTGGTACTGTTAGGAGTGGTATGTAGTAGTTCTAAGAGTAGGGTGAACGAATAAAAGTTGTTGGACTTGGAGTATCCTCTGTGGCAAACAGCACAATATTCAATAGCTTTGTGAATCTAGTGTATTAATGATAGCCTTATTCATTGCAAGTCTTTGAGCTATTGTGTAGTAAAAAGCATGCTAGTACTGACACTGTTTTGTTGCTTAAATGTTGAAATGCCTCTTGCATTCTAAGATGCATACAGCAATCCAAAAAGAACATTGGCTTTAATATCAGTTAAGTTAGCAAATGTGTCTGAAATAGACGAGTAAGTTACAGAGAATGTTTTAAACTCCTGTGCAACAAAACTGTAAAACAACAAAAAATATTTTCACAGCAAATACTTAAAATGAAACAAACTGGACAATCTCTAGGCCTACAACTGCATAGTGAGGTGCTAGGCATTGTCTTCATCTTTCCTTACGTGTAGAGCTCAGGCATAGTTTGACTCCCCAGTCAACTTTGAATTTGTGTTTGATCCCTGATTGCTAGAGAAGATTCCTGTATTGCTTTGCTTCAATCCTGCTGTAATTCGTGGTAAGACGTTTTTCATATTAATGGTGGAAATGCGATATAACATCAGATGAGTGTTACGTGCTCAGTTCAAATAGAGTCTAATTTTATGTAGCTTGCAGGCAGTTATCTGAAATACTCAGTTGTCATGTATAAATGACATAAGTATTCCTTCCCTTTAAGGAGAGTAATGGTCCAATGGACTCCTATGCTGCCATATCCCAAGTAGATCGACTGCAGTCAGAACCGGAGAGTATTCGTAAGTGGAGAGAGGAGCAAAAAGAGCGCCTGGAGCAACTTGGTAAGGAGGCTGTTTGTTGCAGTAGTGTTCTTGCTTGTGAGTAACTTAGTGGCAGCTTTTTAGGCAGCAGAATTCTCAACTATGGGTTCTGGCTCTTGGGAATCTAACATGCTTCTTGAGTTTGAGCAGCAAGTCAGATGAATCTTCCAGGAAACAGACAATACTGGTGTAGGAGTCAGCAAGTGGCTCTCTGAACCTTAGAAGTATTCCCATGGCCTGCCTCTTACTTACAAATAAGCTAACAGAAAATGAACAGCTTTTATCAGCAGAAAAGAGTGAATAAATACTGCAGCCATCAGCACTTTTTTCAAAGGATGGAGATTGCTCATTTTGTAATTGCTGAGGCCATCTGTTGTCACACAGATCTTAATCTAATAGGTAAGTTAAGTAATGGACTAGTAACTAAACTAAATACAGCTATCAAATGCAATGATGCCTACCTGTGGACAGCTTCTAAAAGCCTATAAACCGGTATGCTTTCCACTTACATTAGGGAGGCCTTGCTTGAAATTGTTGGAACAGAACCTTCTGTACAGTGTGATTCCGGATAGAACTGAGCCTGTTGCTCCTCTTCTGCGTTCGTTGCAGCATATGAGCTTGTCCTGAACAGTAGGCTGGATGTAATAGCATACTGAGCGCCAAGCTCTGTCACTTTGTCTAGCACGCAGGCTTTACTGAGATTTGTTCTAGTGCTAGCTTAGCAAGGTGACCGTTTCTGTTTTTGAACAGTTTGCAGGCCAACAGACTTAACTCAATCCAAATTAGTCTTCAAATGCCTATCCTAAACTGAAATGACTGTCCCAGTTATGCAGCACAGGCATTCTGTTTAGCCAGTCCTCTGAACGTTCATGGTATTTAGAGTTCTCATGGTCTAAATCAGGAAATCTCCTAAACCTTATCTGAGTAGATCAAACAACTGTCTACACTAGAGTGCACCTGGAGCCATCAGCTGAAGTTTTAGCAAGATCCAGCTGGAACAAACGTGACTGACAAATCAATTCTTAAATCTTCAGATGCAAACTCACGAAAGCAGGAAGCAGAATGGAAAGAGAAAGCAATAAAGGAGTTGGAGGAGTGGTATGCAAGGCAAGATGAAAAGCTCCAGAAAACAAAAGCTAGCAACAGGTAAGGTTTCTCCAGCCCTCTGAAGAGTTATGGTACTGGATATGAAAATAATGAGGGAGAGAGGTTAGAATACTTCTAGTATGTCCTAAGGTACTAGTCCTTCAGATAATTAAAGTAACCTCTCCTACTAAGAAATGAGTCTCCAGTGGTAGACTATCCTTTTAGGCTGTATTAGAATCCAAGAATAGCAAGAGAAAGCATTAAGGTAATGAACGAGAATTACTGAAGGTTCGTTAAGACACGAAGTTTGAACATGGCCAGAAAAAGTTTTAGTCTACCCACTTGTTTGCATGCTCCTAGCTGTGCATGTTTTTAGTGACTGTAATTACCTACCTTAAGACTAGCAATCTTACTTGCTATCTTTAGAACACAAGAAAGTGGCCTTCTAGTTAGTCTTTGCTGCAAGTAATTTTGTTAGATGTCTTAAAACCTTTGGTTGCTCCTTTTGGAAGCTCTTGAGAAATAACTCAGTTCTGCTAATTAAAAGCTAAATGCTGACTGTGTCTATGTTGGGTTAAATTATGGGCCCTGGGGCAGAAACTAATGACTTGGCTGCTAGTTTAGGAAGCTCTTACACATTCGTAGACATTCCATGTGGAATTTTGACTTCAAGCTATGTAAAGGTAAATGTGATAGTACTGACTTAATACAATTTGGATCTCGACTTCTGACCTAGGGTCAGAAGTCATTCTGTCCGTGTAGTCATCAGGGCTGCTTTATAATTTGGGAACCCACAGACTTCAACCGTTTTTTTGAAACACCGTTTTTCTTATCAAAATGGACAGCAGATTTGTCTTGAATAAGTAGAGTTCTAGGTAGAATCTACTGTTTACTAAATGAAGGAGGCTTATGCTTCCTACGGAATTATGGATTTGACACTTCCATTCACTGAGGTGTAGTCTTTTGGTTGGGCCAAGAACGGGAGATGGGATTGGCACTCTTATAGTTGGTGGCCAGAGCTCAAGGTACCCCCATAGCTTTATTGTAGCCAGTGTTTGAGCGGAGGGTATGAATTCTGGTGCAGGGTCCATTTAACAGGTGTTAAGCAGAAGGAATGTTTGGCATTCTCATCAGCCTGCTGAGATCTTTCTCTTAATGGTAGTTTCTGTCCACTGGAATTAGTGTAATGGTAACACTGGGATTCTAGTCCTAAAATTAACTGGTCCCGACTTCTAAGATCTAAGCAGAGCTTTTGTGTTGCCTCTCTCGAGTCAATGGCTTAATTGATACATTCCATGTGGTAGCTGCTTTCCTGTTACAGTAAGTATAGGTGATGCAAGGTTAATGTTGTTAAAACTGCCTCCAGCTGTGTTTCGTACTTCTCATCCTTATCTCTTTTCTCCTGCCTGCTTGCCTGCCTTTTGGACTACTTGCTACCTAGGGTGGCAGATGAAGCTTTCTACAAACAACCCTTCGCTGACGTGATTGGTTATGTGTATGTTGCTTAACTACTAATTCTATTTGCTAGTTAACTAGGTAATGAGTAGGATCAGAAATAGTGCTGAATGTCTGAAGGTGACTTCTGAATATTTCAGGGCAATGCAAGCTAATATCAGTAAATAGCATTTACTTTTTGGACTGACTTGGATTTGCAATATTAAATGCAGTTTTTCTGTAAGGTTTCCTTACACTGCACAACATCCAGCACTTTCAGATTTAGTCATGTAGTATACATACCACTGGAATTTTGGTAATGACTTAGTAGTCTTTAGATGTAGGGGTTTACAGTTGTTTCCAGGCCAGTGACCACTGCCACTTCCACAGAGAAGCACAATGTTTAACTGTGCATTCTCTGTAATAGGCATCGAGCTCCTGATCTAATCAGAAAAATATTCAAGTAATGCTTACACATAAAGCTCTGCAAGCCAAGGAAGGTAGAAAGGAATCACTTGCCATAAATCAGGGTAGAAGATGTGTGTGCCTATAGAAATAGGATGCTATAAGAGAACAGATGAAAAGTACAAGAAGGTGGTATTGTAAAATCATCATTAGCTGCTGTGAGGATGTTTAGGAGCAGCTCTGTGTAGACATTTTGCCAGCCTAATGGATCAGTGAGAATACAGCCATGACTTTCAAGCCCCAATGAGTATGCTAGTTTTCATGGGGTGGAGGGATGGCAATGTTCATTGGCTTGTTCATGTATTTTGATTTCTTCCCTTAGTTTGTAGACTTGAATTGAAAAGGGGCCATGTCATAGATTCTAAGGTGACACCTTTAGAAGGTGTATTGGTGAGCCATGGTGTATTAATAAGTGCATTAATACTGAAAGTCCAGTGTGGAATTCATCACCTAACTCTAAGTGGATGTAAACCAAGACTTGTGAAATGGTGGATTAACAGGTGGTGTTTGACTTTTCTGAAGTCTCCTGGAGTTGATTTTGATAGTTTTTTTCCAAGAAAACCCTTATTTTCATATATCTAATGCAAATGTGCAGTATAAGTGCTGCAGAACAAAATTGGCAGCCTGTTTTCTGAATGTAGGCTAAGCTTAGTGCATGTTCAGCCAGCTGATCATCTGCATTAAACTCATTCTCATTTTCTATATCTGACTTAAACTTTCTCTCCTTGTTTCTTTTCTTCTCTGCACCTTTAAGCACAAACATAAATCATCCTTGCTACAGCCTAGAACAGTTAAGTAAAAAAATCTTCACTGCCCTTTAAAAGTGTGATGTCACATAAAGTAGCAGTGTTGTAGTGACCCTTGTCTTCAGTGGTGTCTGTAACCTTATAATCCCTGTGAACAGTGCTGAACCCTCACGGGAGAGTCATCTTCACTGCTTTTTCTGTACTGCTTGTTGGAGTAGATGGATTTGGTTTGATCTCTTGATGCTTGTAGGGGCATCCCTTACCAGGGCCTCAGAGTTATATAAACTAGATGCTGGAGTGTTATCCCTGTATAGAAGCAATGCTCTTAGCAGCATAGAAATGCCAAAAGGATAGAGGTGAGAAGCCACTGCCACTAACCTGCACATACGTACAAAGGCGCCTTAGAGTCTCCTTAGGGTGAGTGTAGGGGAAACGTGTTTATTCTGCGATCAGACTTCAGATGAGTCATCCCCTCTGCCAAGATATGCTTTCGTCTATAGGACCTGCAAGCATGGGATTCATGACTGAAGTTCCTTTTGATTCATGCTGCTCCACTAACAGCATTGGGAATCATCAGCAGATAGTTTAATGATGGCCTATAGGCAGATGTAAATCCTTGAATGGAATCTGACAAGAATCCTGCAAGATGTGCTTGCAAGGAGTTGTAAATTTCCAGGTGGCAAGTGTGCAGTATAAGCCATGAAGTGGCAGAGGCTTAACTAGTTAAGACTTGGGCATTTCTTCATAAATAAAATGCCTACGTAGTAGTACCTTACCTCCTGGCAGTGTCTGTGGTCACTTCTTAGGCAGAGACTCAGTAACTATTCTTAAAACCAAACACCTGTATTCCAACATTTTACACAGCACTCTGCACTGCTTGTGCATAGCATACTACTGCAACCTACTTTCATGTCCAGGATTGCGGCATAAGTAAGATTAAGTAACTGTAATGTCCATAGCAGCTGTCAGGTCACATTTCTTATGAAATATGCTGAAAGAAACTTGATCCTGTAAGAGGGAAGGAGTGCCTTACATGTTGGGCATTAACGCAAGGTGCATTGCATTGCTTTCAGGGCAGCTGAAGAAGCCTTTGTGAATGATGCAGAAGACATTTTTCCAGGCACTGAGTGGGAACGTGTGGCTCAGCTTTGTGACTTTAATCCCAAGTCTAGTAAGCAGGCAAAAGATGTGTCCCGCATGCGTTCAGTCCTCATCTCACTCAAGCAGGCTCCGCTGGTTCGCTGAAGGAAAGCACAATGGAAAGACTACAAATGCAGTATCTTAACTTTACTCAGAGAAGCTATGTTTGCAGTAAATGGATTAATTGTTTCAATGTTTTTTTTGGACCAAACCTCATGATGTATCTAGAGCTGATCATTGTTTGATTGCATGTTCTTCCTCATGTTTCCTTTCTGTGTCTGAGATGGGAGAACCTCCAAAACTGTAGTCTCTGTGCTTTTGTGCACTGAGATGTCACTTCCCACATTACTGATATTAAAGGTGTGTTAAACAGTGCAATGTGTTGACTTTGGATGAATTAAGAAGGTCTCCTGCTCTGTTTCAACATGGGATGTTTGAATTGAGTGTGAGCAAACATTTCTCTTAATTGCTAGTGATTTCACTTTGCTGGTGCCTGATCAGCCAGCAGTGCTTCTGGTCTCTGAGAGTCTGTCCTGCTCTTCTCTGTGAGCTTTTTTAAAGCTCTTGAGAGCTTTAGTTTAAAAACTGCTTCCCTATCCAATTTATCACACAAGCTCTTGGAAACTGGAGCAGCAGGCTTGTTAAGGAGCTTATCTTGCTTCCAGTGGAACTGAGGACACTGCCTTCTGCAGGTAAGCAGTTCTGTGTAGTTTTCTGCTGTCACTCCAGCTGCAGATCTTAGGCTAGAAATACAGTACAGGGTGCTGAGTAGTTAAAGCCTTTTCTATTCTGCTGCATATTCTGTTCTGCCATGTATTCAACCTTGGCTTTATATGCAAAGTTCTCTTGTGCAGAGGCTATTTGGGTGGTTTTGAACTGTGTCCTTGTCCTAACTGATTCTTGCAGATACTTTCTCCCACCAGGGTAGTGGACTGGAGATTTGGAGAGCAAGAGAAAGGAAGACTTGCTCTTACTGCTGCTCATCCACTGGATTGGAGCTCTGTCTGCCAAGGTGGTTGAATTTGAAACAAACTGATCCAGAAAATCTCTGTTCTGCTGCTTCTTTGGCTCTCTAGTCTCACCCTGCATTCATAGGGGCTGTATTCTAGTCTTGCTTGGGTAAGACTGACCTTAGCTGTCTATCTTGTCTCATACATTATTTCCATTACTTCTGTCAAAGATACAGTGGCTTAAGTAGTATGTAGGAGAATTGCTTTAATACCTTTTGTGTACAAGCTGAAAGATTAGTCCAGGCAGTTTTTTCAAAAAAAGCACATGCAGATTAAAACTTACTGAGCTTCAGGGGGTTGCTGCACAGCAACTGTCTTACTTAGCAGCTGTGTCCCTTTGGTAGATAAGATACTGAATAAATGATTGCCAGTTGGGCTTCAACAATTAAGCTGTACCTTACATTGTCTATACTGACTAGAGCTATTCTCATGTTTGCAAGTGTATTCACAAGTTGCTGATGAAATGATAGTAGACTACAGGCCTGGAAGCTTAATTCCATGGAAGAGTAAAGCAGGAAAATACTTTCTAAACTGCATAGGAGTACCACAGGTGAGTTTAACAGCACTGAAGCACAAAGCAAGTCTACAGAATACTAATACGCAATGCTAGCCTTGACCAAAAACTTCCTTTCTTCTACTGACCCCAAAGCTCTACCAAAAAAAGGCTTCTAAAATGAATTGGTAATTTAATAAAGAAAACTCCACTGCATTAGTTTAAGATGTTAATTTAAGTCTACTGGAATTTGAAAGATAGCAGATTAGAGGGGTTCGTGCACACTGAGTTACAGAACTGATTAATCACCACATTGTCCTATTTCATAAGATGTTTTATCTGTGCTAAGGGCATGGTTTTAAGCTGTAATCCAAGAATATGGGCGAAGACTCTCAAATCAAGGCTAAAGCAATGTTACAGAAGTTAAAACTGTTTTTTTATAACCTGGGTTTGCAGGGGCTAACAATGTGTCTGCCGTTTCTTTTGTGTATACTATCTAGCTAGAACACTTAACAAGCATCTCTGTGGGTTTTGGTTATTGTAGCTCTTTTTCTGAGATTTTTGTGGATTTTCTTTTCTACCTTAATTTTATACTGTAGTGTGCTAGGTCAATGTCTCCCTCCTACCTCCTGTATCAGTGCTGTCACAGAATCAGACTGGATGAGGTCGGAAGGGACCTCTGGAGGTCGTGTGGTCCAATCCCCAGCTCAAGCAGCGCCACCTACAGCTGGATGCCCAGGACCACGTCTAGACAGCTTTTGAAGATCTCTAAGGAGGAAGACTCCACCACCTCTCTGGTCAACCTGTGCCAGTGATTGGTCGCCTTTACAGTGGAAAAAAAGTTTCCTGATGTTCAGGAGGAACGTCCTGTGTTTCAGTCTGTGCCTATTGCCCGTTGTCCTGTAAGGGGGCACCACTGGAAAGAGCGTGGCTCTGTCATCTTTGCACCCACCCTCCAGATACTTGCATACATGTATCTGGATGAGACCCCCCTGAGCCTTCTCTTCAACAAGCTGAACAGTCCCAGCTCTCTTAGCCTTTCCTCGTAGGAGAGATGCTCTAGCTGCTTAATCATCCTCATGGCCTTTGGACTCTCTCCAGTATGTCCATGTCTCTTGTACTGGGGAGCCCGTAATTGGACCCAGCACTCCAGATGTGGCCTCCCCAGTGGTGTGTAAATGGCTGTGCTTCACCAGTGCTCTACTTGGACTTTCCGTGTCTGGGAATTATTTTAGATACTTAAACCATGTGACACTGAGCAAAAGAACTCTCAGCTTTATTTTGGCAAGTCTGAGCCCTTGTCTCACACGGACTTGTTTCCTTCAGAGGTCAGCATCTGTCACTTGTTTTGTGACCTCGTGACAATTCTGTGCAATAACAGTGCTGCACCTGCATCTTCTTAGCCTGAAGAACATGGGTGACAACCATAAACCAACATGCTATGCTCGCCTGTTACTTGCTGATTTTTTTTCTGAGCAGCTGGTAAAGAGGGGAATGTATGGTTTACTGGCTTGTATTTTAGAATGGAAAAGGTGTCCCTTGTTTTTGCCAAAAGATTTCTCCAGTAGCACCTGTCATGGGCAAGCCTCTTCCTCCCTGGAATGGTTGTGTTGCAGTAGTACACTGTGGCACTGCATGGTAGTGTTGCACCAGACCTGCAGAATGCTCAGATGTTACAAGGTTACTGACAACCCAGGCCTTTGTCTTCTGACTTCAGAGGGAATAGTCCATTTAAGTGTTTGTTATGTTCTAGTGTGAAAAAGGAAAGGCCACTCAATAGTGTTCAACAGGGGAGTGTTTCATTAGATCTTGCATCAGTAATGTGAGTTTCACTGACAATTATGCATGATTACAGTGTTGCAGTGCCATTGGCACAGTTACAAGCAGACATTTAATCTCTTGCTTCATGTGGCTGCTTACTGGTCACAGCTGGTTACCATGTGTAGAAATTTTACCCAACTCAAGGCATGAGATATGGATGAGGTAAAAATGAGGTGAAACTAACTTTTTAAAAAGTGCTGTATCCCTACTTATCACAGGGTTGTGAAACTGAAGTTAAAAATAAAGGAACCTTTGGAAAAAACAATCAGGATATTTCTTAAAAATTTTACCTTAAATACAGTATTCATACACTTTCTCTTTAATTAAACACAAATTTGGCACTTTATTTGCATTTAAAATTTCTGTGATGTGCTTCACGCAAAAAAAGCTGGAAGACCTAGTATTCAGAATGCATTCAGATACAGTGTTGCAGCAATGGTAGTCTGATAGTATAAGCAAGGCAAAAGTGGTGTGGAGATGTGACCTTTTTTTTTAGACTAATGGAGAAAAATGTGTGCTTTAGGCATGCGACGCTTTCTTCAGCTAGCAGTAACAGCCTAACAGTAATTTGTGATTTGTTAAGGATACAACTGCTATCTGTGTGAGGTCAGAAAGAAGGTTGTGAACCCAAAAGCTTCCCTTGAGTATGACAGCAGAAGAAAGAACTGTCTGCATTACTTGAAAAGCAGTCATCTTTGATTTTATACCAAACTGCAATGTACAAGCAGTGGGTGGTTTGGGCACCACAGCAAAGTATATGGTTTGATCTTGTTTTGTGTGAACTTGCTAAATGAACCAACCCAGATATGCTACAACTGTATGCGCAAACTTAAGCAAGGCTTAAGAAAAATTAGGCTTTCTGTGTTGTCTTCAAAATCTCATGAGCATTTTTAGTTGTTACTAAAACACATTATGTGCCCACAGTGCAAAGCATCTGCTTTCAGATTATGAAGAAAACAGCTTGGTGCTAGACTAAAACAACTGTACTGAATATATGGCTTTAGCATATACACTTCAGCTGCCAAAGCACTAGTTCTAATGTGCCTTTGATAAACCATTTTCCAAATGCAATTATCTGAAATGGTCCAAGCAAGCTACAGCCCAGGTGTTTTACCTTTACTAATGCCTGTGAGCTCTCCACAGCATTTGAGAAGAACACAGCAATCAGATTTCACTGATGGAGATTGAATCAAGAGTGTAAGTTGCTCTGTTTGTACCTCATTGTCTGTGATGTCTTTTTGTGATACAAACATGACATTGCTTCCATGGGTATATGTTCAAGTTTCTGACAATTTTGATACAATTAAATGGGGGAAGGACAGTGCTTCAAGACCATCAAAAGACTGAGTCATTTGTTAATACTGAGTGTCTGGATGGCAGATTAAAGACTGAAAATACTGAGTAACTAAACTTGCTGCTCAGGAGACCAAAAAGAAATTCCAAACCTTGATGCTATACCGATTAGCTATGTGGCTTGCAAAGCATTAGCAATGATCTGTAAAAAAATAGTTAGTAAAACTCAGCTGGCCTTCTCATGGTCCCAAGTCCTGGCTGGTTGTGTTTGTATGCTTAGGCAGAGCTGTGGTGGACAAAGCAGTCTTCCACCAGATGCGAGGAGGAGCAATGCAGTATAGGGACTGGTAGAGGTCTTACATTGGTTACATGAAGTGGGAGCTACAGCACTAAGAACTCCAGTTTTAAGTCACTTTCCAAACTTCTGGCACTCTGCCATTTAAGTATTGCTGCTGCTTGCTCATGCAATGCTGATTATAAACATACATGTCCATGAGCGGTCTCCTGCCCAAGCTCTTAAGTGTCACATGCAATTCTGCTTAGAGGACTAGACAGTAGCATTCTTGCTAAAGCTTCAGCAGTTAGAATACTGCATGCGCTTACCAGGGACACTGCAAAAGCTAACCTCCTCCTACAATAGGTACTATTAACATATGCTGCCCATGCAGGTAATGACAAGGCACTGCTTTTTTAGGCTCTGAAATGTTGGTAATAGTGGGAGAGTTCAGCTGCTGTCTTGTGCTTTTGCTCCCCTTC